TTTGTTTGTTTGTTTGTTTTTGAATTTCGCGCAAAGCTACACGAGGGCTATCTGCGCTAGCCGTCCCTAATTTAGCAGTGTAAGACTAGAGGGAAGGCAGCTAGTCATCACCACCCACCGCCAACTCTTGGGCTACTCTTCTACCAACGAATAGTGGGATTGACCGTCACATTATAACGCCCCCACGGCTGAAAGGGCGAGCATGTTTGGTGTGACAGGGATTCGAACCCGCGACCCTCAGATTGCGAGTCGAGTGCCTTAACCACCTGGCCATGCCGGGCCCAACAACCATTTTAAGGTTGTATCTATATATCTTTGAAACCGTAGGCGAGCATTCTACCTTTCGGATGCAAATTTCTTACATTTACGTAATTTTCTCCGGTGGGTCAGTGGTAAGTTTACGGAATTACAACACTAAAAACCGGGGTTTGATCCTCTGCGGTGGACAGAATGTAGATAGCACATTGTGCAGCTTTGCACTAAGAAAATAATAACAACATGTAGGTAGATGAATTCTTCTTCCTTACAAAGTTAAGAAACTTGAAGAAAGTACAGGTTGGGTTTAAAAACAGAAAAGTCCGTTATTGTTTCGGGTTTGAATATATTTTTACTGACAGGTACGAGAAGCAAAGCAATACGTCATTCATGGTGACGTAGATTTTATTCTAAAATATTGGAATAATATCAAGGGAAAATTATCAAGTAGGTTCATTTTCGCCTGAATCCTTCTAAACAAACACAAAGTGCGATAACCTTCACCTATACGACAAACAGCATAGTATTCATGAAGATTCAGTGAGGACTAGTTCTACAAATTGTTTAAAGATGTACAGATGTGAATGGCAACGCTCTTGTCACAATTTTCCTATGTATATGCTAAGTCCTAACGATCTTGCATTACTTTGAAGTAAACCTTTAAGCGAGAAAATAAAATAAAAAACAGAAACAACAAATTTCAAGAAAATAGCGAATATCACAAACATATATAAAAGTTAACTGTAAGTTGCGGTTAATCGCTCATAGTCTGGATCTATAGAACACATTCCTGATTTCAGTTATTTCTATTGAGAGTTGGAATTGGTTTTTATGAATTTCGCGCAAAGCTACACGAGGCTATCTGTGCTAGCCATCCCTAATTTATCAATGGAAGACTAGAGAGAAAACAGATAGTCATCACCACCCACCGCCAACTCTTGGACTACTCTTTTCCAACAAATAGTGGGATTGTGACGATAAAGGCAAGCATGTTCGGTGGGATGTGGATTCGAACCCGCGATCCTCAGATCGCGCTCTAATCACATGACTATGCAGAGCCTTTTTATTGAGAGTTTCAACCTAAATGGTACCATAAACGTACAGGAACTAAATACCCAAGTCGGAGGCACTTAGGGTTCATATAAACTTTCCCTAATATTTAGGTGTTGATTGAAAGCAAGAGGTGGCAGGCAGTCAGCAGTACCCGCTTCCACGTGAGCTTTGAACTAAACATCTGAATTGAGGGTAACTTTTATAACGCACCTATGGTTGAATTACAGAGTGGCTCGAGCATGGAATCATTCCTTCCGCAGACGAATATGATAACCGTCAGCCACACTTAGTCCACTATTCAGACTCAGTTATGTTTTTAATAACAAGTACCCAAGTTCCGTGCTGCCCTTCTAACAACTTCTACACTAAATCGTGATCATTCTGAAGGTCTTGGTTGTTCCAACATTTTCTATTTTAATAAATGTCCGCAAAGGATAGTGAGGTTAATCATAGACCACAGATCTTAACAAACTTTCCATGTAAGTGGGTTTCCGTAATTCTAGTTTATTTGGCTATCTTTCTCGTGAATATAGCCGTTGATTTAGAACGTGTGGCTGGAAGAATGTACACTTCTGGTGTGTGTGTGTGCGTTCGTCAGCTTCAAATCCTAGTTTATTACATGTTTCACAGTACCAGGAGATATAACAGTTTCATCACAATAAGTTTAAGGAGTAGATTTCACTTGTGTATAAATAGCCTCCATTTTTAGTATGAGAACGCTGCTCTGGATGCCTTCAGGATACGATTTAGTTGTCGGTTTCTGTCCTAATCGTTCTGCTGGGTAAATGTTTCTACTTTCACCGAGAAAAGGTTCCTTTTTAAGGAATGTTATGTTCTTTGTCTCTACATCATTTAACAGTATGGCTATATCAATATTTAGTTATCTTCAGAAAGGTTTTTATAATCCTTGAACCATAAGCTGTGATGGATTTGGACTGTCAAATGGTTGTGAAATTCCTGTGAACCAAATATTGAGATTCTAAATATGTCACATTTGATACCACAGCTTCAATCTATGAACCAAATATTGAGATGCTAAACATGTCACATTAGGCGTACACAGCTCCCATCTGTGAATCAAATATTGAGATGCTAAACATGTTACATTAGGCGTACACAGCTCCCATCTGTGAATCAAATATTGAGATGCTAAACATGTTACATTAGGCGTCACAGCTTCCAATCTGTG